CTCTTCTCTCTCTCTCTCACACACACACACACACTCTCATTCTATCTCTTTCTTACTTCCTTACAAACGATCACGTAAACGAAGAACAGAAAAAAAAGAAAAACAGCGTAAAGGCTAAAAATACAAAGGACCACGACGAAGTCGAGATCTCGCGAGAATATATTACACGGAAATACTATAAAGTGGAGTTGAATTCGAGAATAAAAATAAATACGTCATCGAAACACTGACGGAGACATGCGACGCGAGTTGTCTTGTACCTTAAAACGATAGTAAAACGCGACACGAAAGGAAAAAATCGTTATTTTTCATGTTTTATTTTGTACGTTAGCACATGCAAACAAGTCTACACGCTCTCTCTCTCTCTCTCTCATTACTCTTTGACGAAGAAAACGTTGCTCGATCGATCTCCGGCGAGATAGGTGATCGAAACGAACGAACGTTCGGTCCACTTTATAGTAACTTGTTCGGTCGTTTACACGCGGACGATAAAGGAACCGTGAACACAGGTAAAAAAAAAAAGAAGCGTTGGTGCACGCACATCACACTGTCTCGATTGACTTTCTTCATTTTTTTTTTTTCGTTTAGTTAACATTTATCTGATTAACGTTACACGTCTCGATCGTGCCTCGATAATCTTCTCTTCTCGAACATCGGATAACATCGAGTCTCTCTATCTCTCTCTCTCTCTCTATCTTTCTCGTGTAACTTCAACATACTACGCTCTTCGAATCGATATTCTCAAAAGGCACGATCGACGAGAGGAGAAAAAATGATCTGCGTTGTGCCTCGACTTCGCGGAAGAAAATACGTTAAATTTCCGTGCACCCCTGTCGCTTCTTTTACCGAACGAACAGGCGCTTTTCCTATCGCATCTTCCTTCATCGAACACGTTTCGATTCATGCTTCACGCGTCTCTCTGGTCATCAAGATCGAATAAAAATCAGCCGTTCGCCCCCCTTCTCTCTCCCCCATGAAAAAATTTACAATCACATAACCTGGCCACGATTCTCAACGAAGACAACGTTCGAGCGAATCGAGTTGTACAAGAGAACGAAAAACAAAAAGAAGAAAAATTTCCTTTTTTGAGCGTAAGTAACGGATCCGTTTGATCCGTGGTTTTTGGCGTGTAGACGAGATTTTCTTTTCTTTTTATCGGCGAAGCACTGCACGCGAAGGAAGAACAGCTAGGCAACTGAAAGTGTGATAATTTCGGTGTCGGGGTGCACGATCGCGTGTTCGTCGTCGCCGTTTCACCTCGTCTCTCGACGATTCCCTCGTCCAAAAAGCATCGTTGTGTCCTCGTGTCAACTACCGAGGCTCACAGGCCTCGTAGACGAGCTCTGGCACCAGGGCCAACGAGAACGTGGCGCTGGCCTGTCTTGCGTACTGTCTTCTCGTCGCCATAGCTTCGTGTTACCTATTATTCTCTTCCATCACCACCTGCTTGAACACACCGGCGGGCATCTGACTCTTCACCTCGTGGCTGCCTAGCGCGGTCGTCCCGTCCTTCGCGATAAACAGCTGAAGACCTGTTGCTGCGGGTAACAAACAAAAAAATGCCAATCGTAAGAAAAACCTGTTTACGCATACGCCAGTTTCGTCCTTTAAACTACCGTTTTTTTCTTCCTCGTCGCGTCTCTACCGCGATGGATTACGTCTAACAACAGGTCGCGCTATTATTACGTATGTGAATCTTAAGGTCGATATATATTGGTTTGAACTTGGAGAAAAAACTGGCAATCGCTTAGTAATGTTACGATTTAATTATCAATTATGTCGGTAAGAATTACGTTATCTCGACGGGGCGCCTTTACCAGTGAAGTAACGATAGAAAGTTTTAGAAGCGTGGTAATGTGTCTCGAGGAGGGATTGAAGTTTTCTTCACTGTAGACTTACGAGGGAACATCGAGTGGACAATTGTCGATACAAGAAAAGACGTGTGCGGAATATTTGTCTTTCGAGAACGAGAGTGATAATGAAATTCGATGAAAATTGCTGATTGTCACGTTTGGGGATGTTCTCTCGGCGGTCTACTTTTGAAACTGGACCAAAAGAAACATACTCTCAGAGCTCTCGAGATCAGTCTGCTCGAGATTCGTCGCTTTGATCAGCTCGTCGATCAGGGAATCCGGGTTCGGCCTGGTCACCTCGACCCTACACAAGATTGGGTTCCCCGTACCATCTTCCGCTTTTTTCCTTCGCTCCAGTGCGGCCTTTGCCCGGTCCAAAGATCCCGTTTCACTCAGACCAGATCCCCCAGAAGGATTTCTATAGAACAAACGAACGATAACTATAACTCTTTTCTTTCTTTATCCTCGAACTTTAAACCTTTACTTTAGATGAGCACTGTCACAAGGAGCAATCTGTTTTTCTCTTCTTCGGACAATCTACAAGGACTCTCGTTGAAAAAGTCAGGAAACCGACGACTGTCAACCGTGACAAATATTGCAATCGGACGGATAAATATTCATAATCGTGCGTCATTAGTTCGGCATCCTTGAATCCCTCAAGAACTGCTTGAACGTTATTGTTTCCTTTGTCTTTCTTTGAAATCTCTCGAACGAATAACGACTCCCGATGTGTCAGTGCTCAACTTTCAAACACGGGGACAATCCGAAAAATCATTCAATTATCCACGACACACCGCGTGCAAAAACATAGTTCGATGCAAAGATCAAGGAACACGAGAACTGCTGCTGCTGCTGTTACTGCTGGCTGTGACGTTAAACGAAACAAACAAAGATGAAAATCGAGAGACTGGAAGTTTAAGTGGCCGGTCTCGAGACGATCAAGCACGCGGGGGACGAGGCTGACAGACGGAGAGCAAGCGGAATAATGTGTGCAACAAGCGGCGAGATTTGGAAATTCTATGATCGGTGTGTGTACTACACTTGAGAGATTTTGCAGGTCGCATGCAGCAAGCGCCGTGATTAATCAGCTGATAGCTTAACCCATTGCGCTATGAATATTTCCTTAATTTCACTTCGAAGCTAACTTTTATCATATTTAATTTCACTTCGACACTAACTTCTATCATATTTAACCCTTTGCACTCGGGGGTGATTTTACTGTAGAAAAGGTTGCAAATCTGATGTTTGAAGTTTTTTAAAACTAACGTAGAAGTAAAGTACACTATTTTATTTAAATATTCAACGTTGTTATTCTTCTCTACTTCACCGTGGAGAAGAACTTTATGGAGGCCCATAGATCTGTTCTCGATCTTCGTTAATTATTCACCAAGTGACGATTATTTAATGTCGCTTCTCAGTCGCCACTCGATAGCAAAGGGTTAATTTCACTTCAAAACTAACTTTGACAATTTTTTATTCATTTTTCTTCGTCTAGAAAGTATCTTTCGACGTAGTTCGACACAATTGAGGCGATGCCATATTGCCAAGGGTTAAACGAATCATGTCCAAGAAGAACGGTGTCTTAGTTACATCGTATTTATCTTTCTTTACGTTTCTCTTCTATAAGCACATGGAAAATGATCAATTTTATTTTTATGTTAATCGTCATGGACAGGTATGTGCTGCTGCGTGCTAGTACCTTTGGCCCCAACATTTTCCAGGAACATCACGCCTCCGGTAAATGAATCAATTAACGAACCAACAGATTTTCTGTTAAACATATTATACAACGTGTAAATATACAATGTATTGAATTGAAACGTGTATTCTATCTACGAATTGTGTCTACGAACGAGGGGTCAAAGATACGAGCTCGTGGGTGAGTTAACAAAGTCGATGGCTGTTCTAGAGCCAGGTGAAACGACCCCGTGAATTTTCTAGTGAAATGTAAAAAAAAAAAAGAACAAGAAGCAAAAATTCGCGTGGTATCGATTCAAGAGAGAGGTGTCTCTCTCGATCGAAGCACACAGTTGCAGTCGATGAAACTGAACATTTGCTACTGAATCAGCCAGCGACATTCCTCGGGGCAAATTGACGCCACGAGCGAACCTTTGTACGAGGACACGCGGAAGCATATCTCGCGATATCTATTTTTAACACCTGTTCTTCTACATCGTCAATTAACACCAAGGAGGAAAATTTTGTTGGTCGACACCTTAAGCGAGGTGAATCTTTACGCTTCGACGAAAGAAAAAAAGAAAAAAAAAAACTAATCTCACGTGGAACAGTCGTTAAGCCACGAGTACCAGGTGTTGGAGAATTTCGAATCGATTCGCGACAGAGTCTCGCAAATATAGCAAATGTGATCGGTGTACTCGGTTCGTCGCTTCGTCGAAGTGCAAGTGAATCTGAAATTAAGATCGTTAGAAAAGCATCACGCCGTGTTGAAACACTTTTTCTCCTTTCGTTCGACGAAACGACGTTACGATAACAATCACCTTTCGTATAAGATGTCGAAGAGAATCTCGCGTGTTATCCTCGTGTCCACGACAGAAAAAAAAAAGAAAAAAAAAGAGAGAGCAAAGCGTGAAATATATCTATAACAGAGAGAGAGAGAGAGAAAGAGGAAAACAGAATAGATACGAGAGATATGAAAGGTTAGAGAACAAAGAAGAAGAAGAAGAAGAAGAGAATTAAGACGAAAGCATGGACTGACGGTGGGGTTATGCTGTTTCGGTGCTGGGAGCTCGGTGGAGCGACTTCCGGTACCCCTAAGGAGGACTCCTCCGAGTCCGCTGGGCTGGTGGCGACCGTAGCCAGCTTGCCCCCCGCCCCGTCCAGCAACTTCCGGTGGCCTCCGCCAATACCCCTGCAAGGATTCACAAAGCCATCCAAACTGGAAGCAAAGCTACACCTCCTCTCTTCCGCTCCTCGCTTCTTCCCTCTATATTTATATATATTTCATTTTGTTTTTTGTTTTGTCACTTTCTCGTGTTTGTGCGCCCGTTTCTTTTTCATTCGTGTATTCTTTTCTCTTTTTTTTTTTCTTTTTTCTTTCCTTGCTTTTCACGATGTATATCGACGAACGCAGTGACAGACTCTTTTTTGTTTTCTTTCTCCAGTAGGTTTGTAAAGAGTTTGTCGTCACTACGTGATCGAAAGCCCCAGAGGAGGAACCGGTTGTACAGATTTTATGTATTAAATGTGACTCGATTTATCAAAGAGGTCTTCGAGGAAGCAAGTTTCAGCCAGACTGTGAAAGAGTTCGGCGAGATACATCGGCAATTCCCTCTTGATTAAGTCTGTCGAAAATTGATCGGTCATTCAAGGTCGTTGAATGACGGCTCTTATGTAACGGAGATTTCTAGCTGAGATTAAAGAAACAGGTCGACTGTCTCAGACGTGTGACCTTGAATAGTAAATTAATTTTCGACAGACTGTAAGTTATATCGGCTATTTTCAACGAGTAAAAAAATACTCTTGTGGATGTATCGCGAACGGTACACGTCTCAGCTTATGTTTTACATTATACGATAGAAAGTTCGAGGGGCCAATTGTGTAAGTTTCCAAGCTAATGTGCTTGTAAAAAGTTCCGTTAGAAACGTAACAGTCTGGACCGACTGTAGCAGCTGTGAAAGTATGCGACACGATACATCCTCGATCTTTATTACACACTTTCTCAAATGTATCTCGTTAATGTACCAAATTGATAAATTCAATGGAACGTCATTTTCAATTATATTTCGACCATTTATCTCTAACGAAACACATATTTCCTAGCACCTTTACTGCGCTTAAAATACAGTTGCCCTGTGTAGTATCTTCTTCACGCGATACTTCTATCCTCGCATAAGTTAATTATCATACAAGATCGCGATAAACCGACGAGAAGTCAATTAACAGGTGCAGCATATCGCTTGCGAAAGACACATTTTCGACTCGTTTCGTATCGAATCGTTCACCTAATCGCAAAAGCGGTTCACTGTTAGGGGTTTCGTGGAGAGAAAAATCTTAGCCGCTCTATACAGGAGACTTGCACGTTATATGAAGCAAGGCGCAAGCTGATCTCGCCAGCGAGTGTGTCTGTCGTGTTTGTTCGATGCTCGCGTAGTAGACTCTCACTGATTCAAGCATTAGATCGTGTTCGACGTGTTTCACGTATCCGTGTAATTCGCGTTAATTGCAAGCATCGCCCTCTGAGTAAACGTAACGATACAACAGAGAAAACAAGCGGGGAGAGAAACGAATGCAATCGCCGCGTTAGAAGCACACGAGTCTTTTATTTCACGACCACTAAAGAAATTAAGAACGATCGTGTGTTTCTAATTGAAACAAACAAATCAGAACAGAAAATAATGCAGGAGATAAGGGGACAATTCGCTCTTCTTTCAACACGATACACATTTTACACGAATCAACGCTGGTTCTCCGAATCGTGCAGCGTTTAACCCTTTTAAATAGAGAACATTTGACAAGTTCACCGTCCTATTTACACACAAAAGATTTTACAAAACGTTAAAAAATAACGGTGAACTTGTTAAGAACCAAATGTTGTCAGTTTAAAAGGCGTATATCGGTACAGCCAGTGATACAAAGAACCAAGTGTTTCATAGTCATACACGACTGTTGCACGCTGATCCCAACAAGGCCCACCAATCACACGTTCTACATGTCGAGGAAGCCTGTCGAAGCAACGCCAGTTCACGCGGAACAAAGAACAGAAGGGTATACGTATAATTCGAACGTACAAAAAAAAAAATCATCGTCGTTAAACGAAAGGACCAACAGGGTTTTAACGAAGAAAAAAAGAAGAACAAATAATAAAAGAGAAAGTCGTTGATGAATGAAACCTACCTGAGGGTCTGAGCGGTCGTCGCGGAACGTAGCGAGGCTCTGGGGTTATCGGGCCTATGAAGAGGATCTGGGGAGGATACGGCTCTGGCTTGATCAGCTAATCGTAAAACTGGACTCGTTTTTCCCTTCTCTATACAGTCGCAGGTTTTCGAAATACTTCGCCAACCTGGCTGACCGATTCTTGGCCTCGCAACAGGCACAGTTACGTTATTCTGTTGTCCGTTTCTATCGTTCAGCGTCGAATTCGATAGGTTACGCTCGTTTCTAGCATCGAAACTATTCCTCTCGAAATTCTTACGCGTGTGTCGCGATACGTCCTGTGGTCCAGGCACCCTGAACACGCCAATCTGATCGTTATTGTCCTCAACGACGCGACTAGAATCGTTGGTGACCACACCGTTTCTAGATCGGTTCCCTTCGTCTCGGTTATTGGACAACTGAACGGCCGCGACACTTGATCTCGTGGAATTTCGATGATTTGCCTTTCCATCGCGAGACGAGAGAGGACTGGACGTAGACCAGAAACGATTTCTTGGGTCCAGCAGCATCGCGGAAGACGAGGATGGGGAGCCGGAGTCGAGGGAGGTCTCGGGTCTGGCTGGTTGTTGGTTCGAGGAGTTCTGGGAGACATTTGGGATACGTGGAGCCCATACCGGCCAGGAGGGTGACCTATAAAGATCACAACACAAATATTCAAGCATGCAAAAATAATAATAAACTCATATACGGTAAGTAAAGACAGAAAGGGTGCGTCGCGAGGGGGGAGTAGAAAAAAAATCATACAGAAAGAGATAGAATCCAGAGTCTCTGCTTAGAGAGAGAGAGAGAGACAGAGAAAGAAAAAGGAAGAGAGAGAGAGACAGAGAAAAAAAAGGAAAAATAAAAACGTTTCCTTCGTATAGCGGTTACTTGATGTGTTGTTCTCGTTAACAAACGTTCGACGAACGCGTGATAGACGGTAAATACGTGTTTAAATACATAAGTTGAGCGCGCAGAGAAAAATTTGGTTAGCGTGCGTGTTTATATGTACCTTTGTTTAAGGCGACAAGCGCTGAAAATTTAAGTAGACTCTGTTGACAAATTCCGGTGAGATTAGAGATGTAAGCGTAGAGAGTTTCATAAAGCGACGATCGCAAAAAGCGCGACCTCACCGAATTTAGCAATCGGTTAATGCGTATAGTAGCAACGCGACTGATTCGAGAGATTGTTAATGCCAGAGCGTTAACGGTGATACTGTTTTGCTGCGTCTTTGGTCGAAACGAGTAATACATATATCGCGTCTCGCCCTACGAATAACGTAAAAACAAGCAACTGTATTCCTGTGTTACACAAGATTTCCTACTATTTTTAACCCCATCCAATGTACCATGCTTACTTATAGTCTACGCAAAGGAAAAAGAAGTAAAAATAAAAAAAGACACGTCAGAGTTTGAGACACTTGAGTTTCAAACACGTGGAGAAAAAAAAAAAAGAAAAAAAGGTAACTGCCAAGTGAAAAATATTGTAGAAAGAAATGGCGAGATAAGTAATAAGCGATTAATAAGACGCGAAGAGTACTCGAGAAGTTCTTGTTACAGAAAGAATCGAGAAGAGAACTCTGGACGTAATTAGGACGGTTTCAGAGAGCGCTGTTTAAGACTGACTCTGATATTTCTTAATCTCTCTTTCGACTCGAAGTTCCTCGGTCGAACTTCCATCTTCCGTTCGTTTGCCAGGTACAAGAGTTTCCCCTATTGTTTCTTTTCTATTCTTTTCTTTTCTTTTCTTTATTTTCGTTGCCGTATTCCCGGGTGGCCGTATATGGCCTTACCTAATGTGGCCACTGTCACCACTACTGCTCTGCCTACTGTGCTGACTGTGTGAATTCAAGGATCCGTAGCCGGAACCTTTGCTTAACTGGCTGGTATTACTGCTGTTACGGGAATGGCCCGACTCCGTGTGCGCTTCAGCCAGGGTCTCCACTGGAAGAGCCGATGGTACGATCTCGCTCAAGGTCATTGGATCGTACGATTCCGCCCCGCTGAGGAGCTCTGAAAAACGTGACGCCTCGTCAGGTATACACCAACAACGACAGAGATACTACGATGCCATTGTGTTATTCTCTTGTTCCTACCATGCTCTTTCTTCGGTCAACGTTTCAATTGTCTCTACCTTCAGTCTAAAATATCCACTTGCTATTCTCCATTCTTTTTGTCCCCGTTGAAAGAACATGGAAGAATCGGAGGAAATTCGATTGGATTATTACCCGAGGAAAAGAGGGCAGGCCTCTTTTTAGGAAGACTGCCGAAACCACTACTTGCGCTGGCTATACTTCCAGCCAACGAACCGCTGGATACATAATCCTCTCGGTTGGTACACCTCTCAGATGCAGTTACTTCGTCCCCAGTAACACCAGAAACTCCTGGCACACCGGGTACAGCTAGTTGCGTCTGCTTCAACGACGGAGACGGTCTAAAAAGAAAAAAGGATAAAATTATAAACGTGTTTTCTTAAAGAAATGGGGTAATTCCGGGAGAGACGGGCCAGGCAAGTATTTCCTACGTTATCAGCCATATGCGGAACGCGTCAGTATTCTTTTGTTTTACGGAAAGCGATCGAGCGTGGCTCTCGGTGTTTTTTCTTCCATATCTGGCGGATGATGTGGGAAATACTTGCCTGGTCCGTCTCTCCCGAAATTACCCTATACACGTGAAGGAATGAAATCGACAGGAACTTACACTTTGAACAGAATATCACCAGACAACATGTTCATCTTGATGGCAACGCGTAACATGGAATTGTCCTGTCGATGTCTCGCGTCGTAACCTTCCAGAAGGCACCTCGTTCTGCAGAGTCCAGCTCCTGCGAATTCGGCGAGGTTCAGGTCGGTGAAGCCGAGCTTCTGGAAGGACCTGCCTCCCTTCAATTCCTACCACGATAAAAAAACATTCACCGATTAGAACAGATATAAGAGAGATTAGAAAGAAATTCCAGTGGAAAGATGAAATTAACGTCACCTTTCTCACGGATATCCTCAGGATACACGGATCGAGGACACCAGTCGACGCGTTGGCACTCATCTTGCAGGGAAACTCGAATTTAGCGTTCCATCTGACCGTGTGCTCCTGCACTTCCTCCCTGAAACAAACCAACCATCCATTCGTTTATATAAGACGCGAAATACGGGCGAACATTTTCATCAAGAATGGTTAAAGCGAGTGGACAATGCTCGAATGGATACGAACACATAGTAGAGAGAGAATATATTAACCGGTCAAGGCCACATTTCTCCACCTCTGTCGCTTTTCACACCGATAAACCTTTACCGAACGAGGCTTGTATACGTAGCAGTTTAGCAGGTCAACATCATGCGGGCGTGTTTGTTTTTCTATAGCGATCTTTGTCTTAGGATACGTTTTCATTCGAGAGCAAAACTATAGAGAGTTACTCTCTCTCTCTCGAGGGAACTACACAGGCGTAGTCCGAAGGTAAGAATGGAAAGATTCTATAGGGTCGACTGGAGGAGAGATGACCTTGACGAGACAATAGATTCGGCCCTTACTATAGCTGACTACGGGATTATAAGTAGCTTACTCATGGGACGAAGGGATTAGATCAAGTTCAGGGACGATGGTGATTCACAACGTGGCAACGTGATCGTTGATCCGGTCAGTTTCGACCGGGATCCGCTAACGAACCGTTTAAATGAATATTCAGAGTACTTTGCTTCCGGTAAGAGGGCTTCCGCTGAGCGGACACGCGCGTCTCGTCGCCGCGTTTCCACTCGTACAAAGGGCTGGATTATGTGTAGTCATTGTTTATGTCCACCGTAGTGAATTTCAGATGAGTCCAAAGAACGGAACAAACCTCCTACACGTGTGTACATATTTGGCAAGCTAAAGTATAATCTCTCTCACTCTGATAAACGAACCTTTCTTATTACATTTTAGACAGAGGAACGACGCGTGTAGCTTCTACACTTCATAATCAATTTCGCTCGTCCGATCAGATCTAGAAAGATCGAATAATAGAAACGTCGAACTCGGCACGAAGTTCACAGATAGCGAGGATTTTTACGACAGGGGATCGAATAAATCTAGCGTTGGTTTCGTCGATTTTCCGATCCACTTCGCCCTCCTCGAGCACACCCTCCTCGACTCGTAAATGTCATCGACGCCACACGCACCCTCTTCAAACGCAACGACACCCACCCCTGTATCGACCTTACACGGGGAATGGAAAAACTTTCGAGGAACAAAACGTCGCGGCCGTGGTAGAACGGAATAATAAAGGCACTTGTTCCGAAGGGAACAGACACAACCCTTTCTGGAAGAAAAAAGGGGGCGAACTCTGAGCCGATGTTCTCGAAAGACCGGCGAATCGTTATCGCCGGCAAACGACGATCGTGATACTCCCAAGTTTCACCCAAGATCCCTTCGACTGGCTTAAAAACAAGCGCGCTAAAGCCTGTCGTTCCCTCTGAACATCATCGGTCGGTCGGTAGTGTACGTTTGCTATTCGGTCAGACTTCGTTAACGAGATTGCACGGCTTAGTAGGTTCGCCGTAGTCCGGTATTATCTGGATGCATGCATCGGTGGCTGGAAAAGTCACGCGGTTATTTCTACCTATAACAGGATTAGTTGGTAAAGTGCATTTCAGCCTGGCGAGATTTTCTGTCGTTTATACAGTTTGATTTGATCGGACGTGTAGCGACCCTACTACGCTCTGCCACCGGAGGAACGGACTAACCACAAGTTCTCGCTAGTCCTCGTAAAGGCTCCTATTTGTATGAACACACCTTCTGAGTCCTTCCAGTCCCTCCTAGAAGTCCACTAGAAGGCCCAGGACGAAACGCCCTAACCTTTCCTTTTCCGCCTATCCTCTATCACCCTCCCACCTCCCTTCAGACGTGTAACGATGGAATAATTTGGTTGCTTGTCAATGGTAACGGATAGATCGAGAGTTACACGTTGTCAAAAGTTCGAACTTCCTCTGTCGTCTTGTTGAAATGATAATGGTTAGGTGTGAAAGAGAATATTTCACGCGAGTGAAGTTTCTTCTACGGCAAACTTCCTGCAGCCAGAGAAGAGCAGACGAGATGAGTCAACCGTGCAAGCATAATTTTAGAAAGTTTTAATCGAACGAGTATCCTGTCGGCGCGATTAAAGGTCGGATAGTAGGTCATAGGGACAGGACGCGACGAATCACGCTGATAGCCGATAACGAATTAAACGCGTGACTGTGCGTGACCGCTTTCTTCGTCGTCCATCGGCCGTGTCCACGCAACGTCTCCAATTTACACGCTCGACTCGAGATCGTATCTTTCCAAAAAAGAAAAAAGGAAAAAAAAACGAAGAAGAAGAGAAACAAGGACATGGATACGCACTCGTAGCAAGGATAATTATTAACGATCACCGTTCTGAAAGGTAATCATCAGAGTGGGTCCACTCGAGTGGAATTTCAACGATGTTCAGGGTTAATCACGTTTAACGACCATGCAGAGTATAGGAATTGCAAATGAGGTAAGTCACATAGAAACTGGGCCGATGTATCGTAAAGAAAATTCGAATTTCCACGTATCTCCCTCGGTTATTTCATCCAGTCACGATTCAATCAACGCGTACCAGAGTATCGATGCAAGAATAGTTCCACCGTCCATCGCACAATGGACCGTTTTCATTTTCCATTCGATCAAAGTACGAGTATATCTGGTCCAGCGAAGGGAAAAAGGATTTTACGAGGGAGTAGGAACGTGTCGAAGCATTCGCTTGACGAATTACAACTATGGAGGCCACCGAGAAATATTCAGCAGCTCCTGTGAATATCAATGTAACGAGACCAAACCCTCCACCTCCTCCTCCTCTTGGTGGCGTCAATGAGAAAGAAGAAGCTTCGTGTAACCCTGGCCTGGCCACCGACTTGGTGCTTCCAATCCTCGTCGACCTTAATTCTATCATATTTTTCATCCATCCTGCTGACGTCTACTATGAATTTTCCTGGATATTACACGGCGGACTTTGCCAGCTAGCTACCTTTCTCATAATTTCGAACGACCTATTCGACGTTTATTCCAACTACTCGTTCACTCTTCGCCGCCTGTAATTCATCGTTGCTCGAATGATAGGCAGGAGTTTGCACGGGGATCGAAGTAACACTGCTACTCGACCTTAAAATCCAAGCTTCCTTTCAGCTGACTGGAGATTACAAAGTGTGCAAAGTGGTAGTTTCCGGGGAGAGAATCGATCATTCGCCTGGACGCTTCTCGCGAGTATTATCGCGAAATTGGTGGATTCTCTATTGTACCCGATCAACAATTCCTCCAAGTTTTGTCCGGGGTAAACGGGGATAAATCGTGTAGAAATTCCAAGTCGCGAAGAACACAGTGGTTTCTCCTTCGAGTGTGGAGAAACTCGTCGAGATTGAAAGGAATCAAGTTCGTATCGTGGGCAAATTTGTATCTCGACGACGATACCCTCTCAACATCGTGCCCATTATCCAAGCTAACGAATTTGATTATCCGAACGTAACACAGGGATACTGTGGCGGCTCGTGAAAGCAGGGCGGAGGCGTTTAATGAAACCATGGTCGATACTTTCCACGTGAGTTACCCGTGAAATCCACGGATTTACACGGGATTCGCATGAACGAAGAGGTAAAGTGTTGTCCGTGCCGGGGGACTAGCCAATTACCGTGGAAACCAGGCCAACCTATTCCACCAACTGTCCAAAAATTTCGACCTCTGTGGGGACCTGCGAAATTTTCACATTCGTCCACGTTGTACGGGAGAGAACCACGAGTGACGTCTATTGATATTCCATAGAGGGAAATAGAGAAAAGTGGCAAGTCTAGCTTCCAGAGAATTTCCAACATTTTCACTCCTTCATTCTTTAACCCTTTAAATCCTATTCACGTGGAAAGAATCCTTCGATATCAACTGGTTAGTTACAGAAACTTTCTAGTTATCGCGGAAAGTTCGTCTGGAAAAATGACCGATGACTAGAAACTTTTAAATAAAATTTCACATATTCCCGTTTCAACTGCGCTATTTCTAACAATAGAGGGTTAAACGTTGAACTCTGTCGTCAAACTGCTGAGAATTTTGATTACTTCCGCGTTGCTTTCTTCGTCTCTTTTGCGTTTCGTTGATTTCATCGGTGAAAATGTTGAAACTCAAAGTTGAAAGGATTGGTAAACAACTGGAGTATCCGGTGTTTAATTAAGGGCGCGTTTCGTAGCAACGAGCTGGCAAACAGAAAGGCACGCGGCCACAAAACTTATCGATTCTACAATAAAAGACACGTGTAACCGGGGAATCGAGGCGACCCGGAAGCAGGATTAACATGTTTGCTCGCGTGCCGGACGATCGGTCATCCACTGTATGCGAAGCTCGTAAAATGATATCGTACACGAGTGTATGAAGCGTAGAAGGAAGCCTAAGGGAATCGATTGCGCGGGATAAAGTTTACGCGAGAAGTAAGAGAACTACGTGTAAAGCTATTTCGTCCGAATCAACGTTTTCATTCCGACCTCGAATTCAATCTGTCTACCCTGTCGACCATTTAATGTCCGTTTCGCAAATTGAAGTTTCCCTCTCGGAGGGTCGTAACCGTTCGTCAAAGAGGAGAGAAGTTCGAGACGGCGGACTTTTAATTACCGTGACTTCTGGCGGGAGGAACAGTCGAACGGGGAGGAAGCTAGAGCTTGATATCTCTGGGTCAAATAATCGAATTTCTCTTTTTACAAAAATTTCACAAATTCACCAGGTTAAGCACGTCTCGAGAGTTGAATTAATAATGTTCCATCGGCGTAATTTATCATAGAGAATTTTCAAACTAAAATTAGCAAACTCGGTGAAATGACAAATTTCAAATTTCTCGATTTTCAGAAATTATTAAGCACAGAGACTTCTGTTTAACCCTTATGTCAATAACCGGGTACCCTTTTGCGTAATTCTCACTTAAAATCTTTGATCTTCCAGGTAAAAGACTGAAATATCCGGCCAGATCGTTGTTACTTCGCACATTTCCTATCCGTGTTTGCCTCAAGTTCAGAATTTTCTTATCAGAAAACTACTAAAATTGGGCGATAAAGTAGACGACAATTCTGGTTATCGACATAAGGGTTAAACAAAGAAATA